GGCGGGCGTTCGGGTTCCTGGAGCAAAGGAAAGGCAGCTCTGGTTATCCGTGCGCGTGTGAAAGCCCCCCTGTCCTAGCCGAGGCCGGCTGGGAGCCGCGGCGGGGAGACCTTACCAAGTCTCGGGGGACTCCTGCAGCTGGCCCACGACGTCCAGGAGCTGCAGCAGCCTGACCAGCAGGAGGCCGGGCCCGTGGGCGCTCGGCTTGGGCGCGCCGTCCGCAGGAGGATGAGCAGCAGGCAGACCGCGGCCCGCCCCGTGTCCCCGCGCCCGTCCCCGGTCCCCGGTCGGCTGACAGTGACGGGCCCTCCGCGGCGCCCCTATTTATCCGCGGGGGGGAAGGAAGCCTGGAAGCCTTGTGCGGTGGACGGGTGTGAGTAACCCTTTTCTTTTCCACTGGCGTGTGTGCGGGGAGGGGGGCGGGGGCCAGGGACGCACCCGCGGCAAATGCGCCCCGTGGGCATCTTGGACAGGAAGGAGCGAGAGGGTGAATTCCAGCGCGGCCCAGGCAGGACCGTGCGCAGCGTAAACAGTAGGTGCCACAGGCTTCAAAAGTGTAAACAAAGCGCTTTGATCTCCCCTGCCCCCCATCTCCCCTGCCCCCCCAGTCATAAGGGCACTTGGAGAATGAGTAAGGGGGCGCGGCCCCTCGCAGAGGACTTTTTCTTCTGGGAACAACTCTGCTTCTGACTGGAAGCGCCCAGTATTCCATCCCAGAGGTGGAGGAGAGCCCACCTTTTAGGAAATTTTAAATCGTGTGGGATTTTCCAAATTAGCAAGAATATTTTAGGTTCTTAATCAGGCTAAAGGATTTAGGATAGAACGTGCTTCCGCCTCTTCCCGAGGGCGGCCCGAGGGCCTCTGCAGAACGCCAGGCCTCCTGGCGGTGGCCAAGAGCCCCGCGTCCCTCTGCTCTCTGGGAGGCCCCAGCTAGGCGCATGGCAGCCCCACGACTCGCTCCTGTGAAACCAAAGAATGCCCTCAAACAGCCAAACCACAGAGAGCCGTTGCTGGCTGTGTGGCGGTTCCTGGCCAGGGCTGGCACAGCAGGCACCCGGCCAGCCCGGCATGGGGTGCAGCTCCCCGAGGGCCTTGCAGCAGCTGCTCGGCGCCTGGGCCAGACTGGCCATGATCCTGGCCGAGCAGATCAAACCGGCGCCGTAGAGGCTGCGGGCAGCTTCGCAACCCAGCGCTCAACACCACTGCACCACCGGGGAGGCCCCCTGTTTACATTTTTTAAGTAAAATTTATAGACAATGATTTGCATAAATCTCAAGTATATGTGATATGTGGGCACATCTGTGAAACAGAAACCTCTGTTAGGGGTGCACACTTCTTTCATCCCGTGGTCAGTTCAGTAATGGCTTCCAAAGATGTCGACTTCCTGTGACTGTTACTTGGCAAGAAAGAATTTGCAGATGGATTAAATTGAACACCTTGATATAAAGGAAAATCTGGGGACTTCCTGGTGGCGCAGGGGTTGTCTCAGCACTAGGAAGCTATCTGCAGCCACTGCAGCACGAATTAGATCCTGGCCAGGGAGCTACCCACATGGCGCAGCGGACCTCTCCTGTCTCCCCGCTGCTCCCCTCAGCAGTGTGTTTCAGTAGCTCAGCCTGTTCAGCTCCCCACTCTGTCTCTGGTGAATCCTCTCCCCCCCGCACCTCTGTCTTACACCCCAGTTCTTGTATGCATAAATAATAAAAAAAAAACAAACAAAAAACAAGAGGCAGCGCTGCTGGCTGTGAGGACAGAGGAAGAGCCTGAGCCCAGATGTGGAGCTTCTAGAAGCTGGAACAGGCAGCAGTCAGATCCCCTGGGGCCTCAGAGGAAGCAGCCCTGTCCACACCAGGGTTAGCCCTGTGAGACTGTGCCCAACTCCTGAACTCCAGGACCATGAGATGACACATGGATGTTGTTTTAAGCCACTACATCTGTGATCATCTGTTACAGTAACCCCAGGAAGTTCATACGCGCTCCCAGTCAATGCCTGCCTGCTGTCCCAGCTGAAGCCTCTAAATCCTTAGGTGGTTTACTATGCGCTAATAAAGAACTGAAACCGCTCATTAGGCAACTGTTTATGTAAATAACCAGTGTCAGGGATAAGGGACCAGAACAAAGCCACCTCCCTGCCTGTCACTAGTGGGAGGTACGCAGAGATGCCACCAGCACGGCTCATCAGTTACCGCCTTTGGCTTGAGTAACAGAAAACCTGACTCAACTTGCCTCACTCAGTAAAGGCATTTATTAGCTCTCAGAACACATGGCCCCAAGTGAGGGCGCCTCCAGGCACAGAATGATCAGGGCAGTTCAGCAATGTTATCTTGACCTAGATTTCCTCCATTTCTCTGCCATCCTGGAGGTCATCCACGCCAACTTTTTCTGAAAATACCCCTACCTGTACCCCATGCAGACTTTTCCTCTTATCTCAGGTGGCAGGCCTGGTTGTATGCCCAGTCTCTGAAGCACTTGTCTGGTGAGTCACTCACGTACACCATGAAATCAGATCTTAATATTCCACTAGCTGTTATTTTAGATACTGTTGATATTACTAATATGGCCTGTTCTTATATTTTATGTTGATAGATAAAACAACAAAAAAAATTACACAGCTATGAGACCTGCAGAAACTTACTGTCATGGGTCACTTAAGGATGGGGACAAGGTCTGAAAATTGCGTCGGAAGTGATTGCATTTCATGAAACCATCATGAAATGATCACACAAACCCCACTGTATAGCCTGTCACGCTCCCAGGATGCATAGCGGCCACCATGGTATAAGCAGTTTGTCACAGACCAAACCGTCCTTATGTGGCACATGACTGATTATGGGTCACCAAACGATAGAAGAAAAGGGTAAAATTATACTTTGGGTGAGGGACTAAATTTTTTAATGGACTAAATGCCATTTAGAGAGCAAAATAAATATTTTCTGCCAAGGGTCAGAGACTAAATGTTTGTGGTTTTGCAGGTCTTATGGTCTCTGTGACAACTACTTAAATTGGCTCTGGGAACCAAGAAACAGATGACATGGGGAGGAATGGGCACCGCTGAACATCAGCACATTATGATTTACGACAGGTGGTGGCCAGGCTTGGCCCCAGGCAGGCTGTGGTCATCATGCACACCGATAGCCATACTCAGTAGAGGATAGAGTTAAATTGGAAATGGCTGTGTGGACCTGCAGGTTAGAAAGCTGATTACTTTTACTTATCACTGAAGCAGTCTTTTGCATTTTTTTCCACTGGAATTTTGTGTGCTATGATTGGAAAGCTTTCTCAATACCCGAAGTGTAGCCACCAATACTTTGCTCACCCTGAGGAATGAGGGCTCTTTGAAGACAGCTGGATCAGGGCACAGAAGCCCCTTGCACACATAGGGGCAGGCAGAGGACCCCCACAACCACCTGTGCTGACCAGCACTGATTTACCCCTGAGCGCTGCCTTCTGTCCACCCTGCTTATCTCCCCGCTCTAGGCACCAGTCAGCACCCCCTTCCCAGGGAAGCCCTCTCCCAGGCTATACATCCGGGGTGCTCAAGGAACCCTGCTCTATACTTTCCTTGACCCATCTTCAAGGCATTCAGGCTCTTTGATAGTCTGGGTGTGGTTAGCAGTTCAGGGGTTCCACCTCTGTCTACACCACCCAGCCATACCTGGCTCAGGGGAGGGTCCTGATATCTGTCGAGCACCCTTCTTCCCAGGTCACCCAGCAGTAGCTCCCTGGCTTCATTTTGTTTCCTCTGAACAGTGGGGTCCACTGCACTTGACTGGCAGACTACCTAGGGCTGGGGGGAGGGGGTGTTTGGACTCTGGAGTAGAGGGTCAAAAGTCTGGGTCTGGATTCCAGAATTGAGAAGGGAGTTGGGGACTACAGACTGTGATTAGAGTCAGATGTTTGGGGTCTGAGTTCTGGGGTCCCAGGTGTGCAGTTTGAGGTCTAGAGATTGGGATATGGTGCCTGGGACCCAAGATCTTAGGTCTGAGATGTAGGATCTGAGATTGGGGAACTGGGATCCAGATTCTGGGGTTTGGGGTCCAAGGTCTGGCACTACTGGGCGCTGAGGTTCTAGGACCTGGGGTTCATGATCTGGGAGATAATGCCTGTGTCTGGGACCCCTGGTCTGAAATTGGGTTCCTCAGGTCTAAGATGAAATTTGGGATTTTGGAGCCCAGGGTTCATTCCTGGTTTGAGGTATGGGTCTGGAATTTGAAGTCCAAAGTCTGAGTTTTGAGATCTAGGTCTGCAGTATGGGGTCCAGGATCTAGGGGTTGGAGTCTGGGGGGGCAGGTTTGGGGAGCTGGGGGGTGGTCCAGGAGGCTGGGGATCACAGAGCTGGCGGGGCGCTGGAACTCGATGTTCTTTCTGAGTTCGGGGCTCCTGGGTTCATGAGGCAGGAGTTTCTGGGGGGTTCCGGGGGTCACAGTAGGAGAAGGCGGGCACGGGATGGTGAGACCCAGGGTGAAGGAGGTAGAGAGGGACTGCAGGCCCAAGAGTGGGGGGATTCTTCAGGCTGGCCAGGCTGGGGGGAGTCCTGGCCTGTGTGTGGCAGAGCTGGAGGGGGGGTGTCGCTGGGGTGGCGGGCTGGCGATGTCTGGGGCACTACCGATGTAGGGAGGTGGGCAAGGGTTATGGGGTCTGGGATTGGAGGGGGCTGGTGCGGGCCGAATCTGGGGTCCAGGGTGGGGGTTCTAGAAGCTGGGGTGCGGGATCCAGGGTCTGAGGTAAGGGACCCGGCATCTGGGGTCGGCGGTCTGAAATTCGAGATCTGGGGCCTGAGGTAGGGGCGCAGGACCCCGGAGCTGGAGCCCGCAGCCCGAGGTCGGGAGTCCCGACTGGGGAGCGAGCCCGGGGTCTGAGGCGCGGGACCCGGCCGGCGCCGCCCCCGCCCAGGCGCCTCCCTCGGCTCCGCACCCCTCCTCCCGCCCGGCCCCGGCCCCGGCCCCGGCCCCGCCCCCGGCCGACCCCTCCCCCCGCGCCTCCGCCGGGTCCCCTCCTCCGCCGCCGCCGCCCCGCCCCCGCCGCAGCCCGACAAGATGGCGGCGGGTGGGAGCGGCGGGCGCGCGTCGTGCCCGCCGGGGGTCGGCCCGGGCGCGGGGGTCGGCCCCGGGCCCAGCGCCAACGCCGCCCCGGCCCCCGGCAACGCGGCCGCCGCCGCCGCCGCCGGTCCGGGCCCCGCCGCCGCCCCGGGCCTCCTCCGGCCGGAGCGGGGCCGGCGCCTGGGCCGGGCGCGCAGGCCGCGGCGGGCGGGGAGCGCGCGGAGGAGCCGGGGCCCGGGGCGCTGCTGCGCGAGCCCGTCTACAACTGGCAGGCCACCAAGCCCACGGTGAAGGAGCGCTTCGCCTTCCTCTTCAACAACGAGGTGCTGTGCGACGTGCACTTCCTGGTGGGCAAGGGGCTCAGCTCGCAGCGCATCCCGGCGCACAGGTGGGCCGCGCGGGCGGGGCCGGGATCCGCGCGCGCCTCCCCGGGGCCCCGCGCGCGCCACCCCCATCGCCCCCGGCACCCTGGGGCGCGCCGCCCGGGCCCCGCCACCCGCGGGACGCGCCCTCCCTGGACCTAGGGGCCGGGCACCCCGGGACGCGCCGCCCCAGCTCTCGGGACCCCGCCATGCCCACGCTCCTCTGGGCACCCCCGCCGTCACCGGACCCCGGGAGCCGGAGATGTTCCACCCCTGAACCCCAGGTGTGCCGCCTCTGCCATCCCCAAACCCCATCATCCACGCCATCCCTGCGTCCTGGGACCTGGGGGAACCTCCGCCCCAGGACCCGCACTCAGGGGACCCTGCACTCCTGAGACTGGCCATCCCGGATCCGGTCATCCCCCAAGGTCCTGCCAGGCCCCCATCCGCCCAGCATCCCACATACTGGCCATCCTGACCTCAGAGACCACTGCCTCCACCCCTGCCCTGTCACCTTGGCCCTGCCACCTCAGCCAGGACTTCTGGGCACTCCAGACCCTCCATCCCCACCCATGCCACCCTTCCCAGGAGCCTGAAACCTCCGGCAGGATGTCCAGTCTCAGAGCCAACAACCCCACCAGAGACCCCCCCCACTTCCACGCCCTGTGGGAACCCCCACTCTGACCCACCTGAGGACCCTGCCCCCGACACCCCCCCTCCTCTGCCTGTGGTTCCCCCTCTACTTCATCCTGGCCCTGCTATCCCACCCCATCTTCCCCCTGCTGTGACCCCTAGGCCCCCAGCAGAGACTTATGCCTCATGAACCCAGAACCCCCAGTCTTGCAAACCACATGAGCCCTCCCAGTGCTCTCCAGCTCTGTGATCCCCACCCCAGGCCTCCTCTCTGGTAAGAGCTGGTCCAGGCCCCATGATGTGTAGTCTCCTGGGCACAGCCCGCAGAGTCCTGGGCGGGATGGAGCTCACGTCCATCTGGCTGCCACTCCGTGTCCTTCTGACCCTGTCCTCGCTGCATCCCAGGAACCTGGGGGGCCCTGGTGGGTGTGTCTGGGTTACTTGGTGGGAGACTGGGGAGGGTCTGATCTGGGGGACATGCGCTTTCCTCTGTGAGTAGCCCTCCCCGCCTTTCTGACTGCGGCCTAACCCTGGGCCTTTGAGAGTGTTCTTTCCAACATTTTCTTGGATATTTCTGCGCATCTATGTGGTTCTTGGTGGAAGGTTCCAGGCCCGTGATTGGGCCCTGCCCTCTCTCTGAAGTTGGAGTCGGGGGCTGGTTGATTTGCTGCCCACAAGTCCCTCTAAGTCCCACAACTCTTTGAGGCCATATTGGGGTCAGGCTTATGGCTTTGGGGGTGGGGGTGGGGCCGTGTGGATGCTGCTGGAGTCTCCACCAGAGGCAGCACCTCAGGCCTTCGAGGGAAGAGTTAGTGACCGGTGGCCCTCACCACTGCCCCTGTCCTGGGTGACTTCAGGACATGCACTGCATTGCATGTGAGTTCTCCGACGGCCTGGTTCAGTGTGGGGACCAGAAAGGCTGAATGAGGACCCCTGCGGAAAAGCAGGAGCGGGACCTGGGAGGAGGCAGCAGGGCGGGCAGTGGCTGGGGAGCTGGGGACATTAAGTGAGAGACCATCGGTGCGAATTTGAGGCAGGAGGGAGATACCAGGGCCTTGGGGTGGCCATAGGGCTCACTTGCTGTGGGTACCACAGCCTGAGCAGAGCGAGGGGGAGCAAGATCTCGGAGCTCCTGGCTGTCCAGGAATGCGCTGGTCTCAGCGGCTGAAACAGGGGGAGCCGCAGCAAGGCTGGAGCAGCGGGGGTGACTGGCTGTGGACTGCACCGCTGCATCTGCTTTGAAGACGGGCACAGCCATGACAGGCCTGGGGGCCTTGGTGGAGAGAGCAGCGAGCAGAGCCGAGGCTTTACTTGCTCTTCGAGGGAGCCAGGCCCCCATGGCATGTGAGGAGGTGGAGAGCGGAAGCCGTGGTGGGATTCCTGGCTGGAGAGTGCCGGGGACAGGCAAGGAGGGACTGACCCCGAGAGGTGGCCAGAGGTGATGTGAGTCTAGGGTTTGTAGCCGTGGGGGTGGGTGGAGGAGAGGCGCACGTGGGAAAGGTGCCAGGAGCCACTGAGAGTAGAGGCTTAGGTGTAGGTGCCCTTGACCCAGCACGCCCACAGGAGCCTGCTTCCCCGTCCCTGCAGCCGTGCTCAGAAGCCTCGGGGACCGCCTGCACCGGGAGCCGGCAGTGCTGGCCCGCTGCCCCGCGGCTCCCCGACCCCGCGCCCAGTGTCCAGAGTGGGTCTGGGCCGCCTGATGATGTCTTTCTTCTCCTGTTGTCTCATTGAATCCCCGCCCTGTGGATTCCCACCAGTAGCCTTTGGGTTATTTTGTCCTGTTGCAGTTTGGCCTGACGTGGTCCAGGCTGGGCTCTCTTGGGGTCTCCTGGGGGACCCCAGGCTCACTGGGCATCAGCTTCTTCGGCGTCACCTGTGTAAAGGGACCGAACCTCAGATGCTTCTGTCCCTGGGCTGCTGAGTGGGTGGGTGGGTGCTTATCTCCGCAGCCCAGGGCTCGGCTGGGTGGGCGAGCTGAAAAAAGTGGGGGTGTAACCTAAAGCATAGCAGGGACCTCCTGAGGTTGAACTTGTACATGTGGGGAGGAGACAGGGATTCTTGCTGGGAAGATTCCAAATAATATTGGGGTGCTCAGCTGCTGGGCCTGGTTCTCGCCCCGTCTCCTGGGGGGCCTGGGTTTGGAGACTTGCCTGTCAGAAGCAGAGTGGCCTGGGTGCCGAACGGGGCGGCCCCACTTCAGCCAGGTGTCAAAGGTCGGCCTCAGGAATGTCAGGTAGGTGGCAGGCGCCCCACCTGTGTGTGTTCTTCCCCACAACCTCCCACCCTGATGCAGTAAGTTTAGTAGTGGCCCCCCAAAAGCTGTGTTTGAGTCCTAATCCCAAAACTTGTGAGACCTTATTTGGAGAAAGGGTCTCGGCAGATGTGATAAAGGGTTTCCAGATGAGGTCTCCGATTATCTGGCTGGACCCAAAACCAAATGACCAGTGTCCTGGTAAGAGACAGAGATGGGACGCAGGCGGGGAGGAGGGGATGAGGATAGAGGCTGAGACGGGGGAGGCAGCCCGGAGCCTGGGGATGCCTGCAAACCCTAGAAGCTGGCAGAGATGGGGAAGACCCTCCCCTCCCTGCAACACCTTGCTGCAGACTTCTGGTCTCTAGGCTGGGGAGCGTGGGTGCCTGTTGTTTGAAGTCACCAAGTTTGCAGTCATTTGTTGCAGCACTCCTGGGAGGCCGGTACCCCCGATTTGGTCATAAGGACTCCCAAACAGGCCCCTACGAGAGGATAGTCTTCAGGACACCCAGCCAGTCCTCAGTACCACCCAGGGCATCAAAAAAACGAGGAAAGTTTTTTTGATGTGGGGTCCCAGGGACATGAGTATATTTTACTTTAAAAGCAGAACAGGGGCTTATGCTACTTGCTACAGTGGGCCCAGGCTGTCTGGACCCACTGTCCCCCAGCGCCCAGGCTTGGTGGGGGGTCCAAATGGGGTTCAGGGGTCTGTGAACTCTGGGTGAGGCTGAGCAGGGACGCGGGGAGACAGGACTGGGAGCGGCGTGTGGCCACGGAAGGGGCTGGCTTGTGTCTTACGGGGTCAGGCCCCCACACTCGGGTGAGCTTTGTGATCCCATCCCCCAGCCTACATCATACTTGTTTCCCCCATTACTCGTTTTCCTCCACTGCGTGGTGGTGTGCTTGTCAGCGCCTCACTATGAGCAGAGAGGTCTTTCTTCTCCTTCCTTCTGCCTCCCAAGTGCCTGGGGGAGAGCAGGAGGCTCGGTAATGCTTGTTGGCTGACTTGCCTGAGCCAGCTGTGCTTCTGCGGGCCTTACTCAATTGCAATACAGAACCTTCAGGGTTGCGCCGTTGTGATCTTCTGTGCCTTATGTGGGTCACCTCCCTGGCCAGCCTTAGTGGTGATCGCACTGAGACTTAACCCCTAGGCCACCAGGGAGGCCCCCAGGATTAACATCTGTATTCACTCCATCATGGGAGATTCAGCAACGCAGAGCTGTCTAGAAGGAGGAACTGTGTTTCTGGGGTCGCTTTGGTTAGGCATGAATTCTTAGTCCAAGAACACATTTTTTGATGCTTGTGGATTTGCAGCATGTTTTGAGAATTCCTGAGGGAGTTCTTTGCAATTTATTCTTTGTCAAGATTTTGCCAGCCCTTACACATTTATGCTTCCACAATCAGTCCCCCATCCATCCAGTACAGTAGATCCCCACTTCATCCTAATCTGTTCTACAAACATGATCTTCTTTTTAAAATATTTATTTATTTATTTATACAAGCACTGGGTACAGTCAGAAGCGCGGGAGGGTGAGAGAATTCACTGAGCCAGAGTGGGGAGCAGAGCAGGCAGAAGGACCGAAGCACACTGCTGAGGGGAGCAGCGGGCGGCGGGAGAGGTCTGTGCCATGTGGGACCCTCCTCCAGTGGCCGGGGAGCAGCCGGGGATCTAACTGGCGCTGTAGAGGCTGCGGGCAGCTTCGCAACCCAGTGCTCAACCGCTGCGCCACTGGGGAGGCCCCTACAGACATGATCGTAAAGTGAAAATATATTGTGAGCCAAATAATACATTGATACTGTGTGATTTTTTTCTAAGATAGCATAATTTGAAATTTTTGGCAATAACTAATATGTAAGACTAATTTATACACTAAAACAGCCAAAACACTGAAAAGATATTTGTTTTATTGACATTAAAAAGGTGAAATTAAAAATAAAGTTAATTAAATTGGAAAAGGTTATTCTGAATTGTTTAGAGTTTGCTAGTGGATGGGAAAAAACAAATTCTCATACCAACTGACTTTTATTTTTTTTTTTAAAGATTTATTTATTTATACAAGAACTGGAGTACAGGCCAGATTCACGGGAGGGTGAGAGGATTCACCAGAGATAGAGCGGGGAACAGAACAGACAGACTGATGA